GACTTAATTTTCATCTACAGCAAAACTAAGACATGGCTAAAAATTGTTCTCTCTGCTCGCTTGGTCTCCGCTCTTGGAAGTAAATATCGTTCAACATCTTGGCTGCTCCTGCAAAGCGCAAGCTAAAACTTTCAGAAATTTGACCCTCCTCCAGACCGGGGTCGAAGGAAAAAAGTGATAAGGATGGACCAAGGTAATTTTTTCAATATTTTTTACATGGTGATCCTACGAGTAAATTTTTGGTGTGCTACGCTCCTGGAAATTGATATGTGGCCTATGCTGGATATGTGTGCAAAGTTTAAAGAAATCCGAGCGTCCAAAAACTCAGGTCTCTGATCTAAAAGACTAAAGCATTCCCATGCCAAATAATTTGAAGATAACGCTTCTATTTATGACGTATTAAAATCCCATCCACAGTATATTTCTAATTACCAAAACCAACTGACCGACTTTCCCATTGCCCTTTTGCCGCCTTCCGTCGAACGGTACGAAACCTCAAAGTTCATGAGAATATTAGAGCGTTTTTTGGAACGGCCCTAAAGAACAATGTAACCCCGGAAAGGCGAAATCAGAAACACGGAAAAAGTAATGGCTTATGAAGTTTATTTGATGCCCGCTTTATGAGTTTCCGCAGCACGGCTGCCAAGGGGATACGGCGAACGCGATGAGATGGCGTTTTTAGGAGAATGAACATTGATGACAATAAAACGTATGTTCATTAGATACCACAAGATCCGAGCATATAAAGAAGGCATTTAGAGCTTGAACACCACAAAAAAAGCCTTGTCCAAAGAAGGACACTGTGCATTTCGTTATGTCAGCTTGAGCCTCTTTGAAATTAGTTATGCTGATCGAGATTTCTACATAGATAAGAAGTTGGCAAAAAATTGTCATTGTTTTGCGAGTTTTGGCCTCGAGACTTTGTCTATGTCTAGTGACATAGACACGTCCATAGAGGCTAATGTTTCACAGGAAATCTAATTTTGCCGCGTGCAACTGAATCAGAGCGTCGCACTTGGGGAACTTCCCTTATAAGAAATAAATAAAAAATCTTAAAAAAACAGACGCTCTCATTTCCTAGAATTTCAGCGAATGGCTCGAAAATCGGTCTTCAACCTTCTCCGTTAAGCTGATTTTGGCCTCGTGCACTTCTCCAGAAACCCCAAGCTTTAATGACTAATTTAGCCTGCGGCTTTTAGGGCTGCATAATCCCGACAATGGGGGAGAAGAGGGTTTTAACAGGAAGAAACAAAGCTCAATTTAATTTCGTAAAGCGTTTCCGGAGTTCGCAGGAAACAAATAGAAACACTATATGTAAAAAATCATAATTTCTATGCGATGTTATTAGGGACTGTCGCAAAAATTGCAGAAAAGGCCTCTTGTCAAGCCAGCAAAGAAGAGCCCACTCCTCGATATTCTTTGACCATCATTCCTTAACCTAACAAACTTTTAGCGTTTCCAGAGAGGTCAAAGAATATCTCTTCTTCAGAATTTTCAACACCGATATCAACAACTTTTATGCTGTCAATTTCTTTGCTATCAGTGAGGTCTAAAAATCTATCAACTCTTGCTCTACAGTTTCCCCCAAGTCCTGGAACCCTCAACAATAAAAAACGGTGGTCTGAACAACCACTTGGTCATCTGGCATTATTCAGCAAGTCAAATGGCGCATCCAGCACAATTAACTACGCCTAACCACGTCGACCCTAATCGCGGTGGAAAAAGCCGCCTTAAACATGCACAATTATCCAGCTCTTCCTTTTCTGGACAAAAGTCCGCTGTGTGGTCCACCAAAACAGTCCAACAATCTCGGGGCCATTCAATAATTAATCTCCAAATTGAACTTCCAACCGAGAATTTAAAATTTCGAAAGACTTTGGTGTGAATGACAGCTTCGGGGGGAAAAACACAAATTTTAAAAAGTTCGAACACTTCGGATGCATATTTTATGATAAATCCTGCATGAAATTTGTAGAGATATAAAGAGCAAGAGGATCAAGTTTGTAAATTTGCATTTTGCGTCACAAAATGAAGCAATCTCCCAGAATTGTGAAAGGATTTTGGGAATGGAAAATTTTGGATTCGAGCAAAATGCGACGCATTTTTTCCAAGGTTGTAGGCAAGTTATGCCTGGCCAAGTCTGGGCTATCAATCTATGCAAATTCTAGCTCGTTCATCGCAGAGAAAGAGCACAAGGAACACGTAGAGCGATCACAGAGAAAAATAAATAATTTTTGGCCTGATCTTTGCCAGTGTGCTAAAAAAGTGACCTTTTATTGGTCCACCCTTGAAAGCACTTTTCCGTCTGCATTTTCTCCTTTTATTTAGACAGCGGCTTTGCAATAACAGGAACAACTTTACATAAGAGCGAAGGAATAAGAATTTTTTTCCGAGCTCGAGAATGTTTGCTGGATTCGCTACCAATTTCAAAAAGTAGCGAAAAGATCGATTTGCGACGTGGTCTCGGTAGCGAATCCTTCTTTTCGCGACCTCCGAAAAAAGTCGGTCGCGAATCGGCGTTTTCGCTACCTCCGCAAATGAGGAGGTAGCAAAACGGCGTTTTTGCGACGGCGCGGAATTGGAAGGTAGCAAATCCGTGGATTTGCGACCTCCCAAATTGACTCCGCCCACTCCGGCGGAATTTTTTTCCAGCGCTCCTTTTTACCGTTTTTATATATTGCTAGCGAATAAAGCACTTTTGGAATTTCCGATGTTTTTCTTGACAATAACCATTTATTAAAGCACATAATCCGACAAAATAACAAGGCAATAAAGAGAGAATCCAAAAATTTTACATTTAAATCGATATAAAATAGTTCAGGCTACTAATTGACAACTAATAATAGAAAAAATACTGCCTCTTGGAAGCGCACAGAGAATTAATAACGGATAATAACATATGACCTATTGGAATGACCAATAATTGCTTTAAACAAACATAATATGGCAAAGGAATGTAAAAAAGAGATACGGCCTTGAAATGGTGGTGTTTGTAGACGACGATCTTCAGGTCCTTGTGAAGACATGGACAAGGGACTTGGACGTTTAATGGGGCGTTCAGCGGCATAAGCGAAAGATCGCAGTGTTCATGCTTGGTGGATCTTCGCTTGTTTCACCTAAAGCAATAAAAATAGATACAGAATGTACTTACCACCTTGAAGACCCACGAATTACAGCCTTTTTGGGGTCAATACACATCGTCCGATTTCGTTTTTTGATCTACGCATCGTTCAATCGTTCGCCTAAAGAAGTGAAAACAAATGAACAACCTGCTTACCATCTGGAAAACCTACGAAGGACACACCTATTCTAATGTGGTCGCCACCATCTTTCAAACGGTTCGGAAATGCATCCACACCTCAAAATTTGGCCAAAAGACGCAGTCTCTTTCATGGATAAGGCCAAGAGATCTTTCTCGTTCGACTAAAACAATAAAATACAAAGAACAAAACTTACATAAATGTCCAAGCAGCAATTCGGCCCTCAAATCGAGTAAAACATCTTCTAAAAATAGAAATGCCACGAAAATTGTGCCTAAAAAACACTCGTAGACTGCGTGGCATTTCTTTTCACGTTCCGCCGCGAAAACATTCGCCACTTTATAAATTCTATTTTCTTCTTTTCTTATGTTTTGTTAAAATCGACCAAATGGATTGAGAAAAGAAGCTGAATTCGAAGATAAACCGACAAGAAGATCACTATAAACATCGAGGACGAAATTGGCGGGCAACCCAGGCTTTTTGACTCCATAGTAAGCTCTTTTGATATTTTTTATTTTTTTTTTGTTTTTAGACGAGATTTCCAAATTTTTTATATTATTCATGTATAAATCGTTTTCAGGAGGCAGAAACAATAATCGAACAAAGGAAAATCCGTATGGTAGTTGCCAAAGGAGGTAAAATTGGATTAAAGTATTATTATTTTGTTTTTAGGTAATAAATTGTTGCCTGGAATTCGGTTTTACTCCAGGCGGCCGTATTTTTGCTCCACATTATGTCAATTTCGATGCTTGGATTAGACAAACTATGAGGTAACTGAAGGCCTTTTTTCTAATCTGAAGGAAATTTTATATTGCTTTCGATTTCCAGGAAGATCAGTGAGAAGAACATTGGCATGTTCTTCAACCCCATCCATCGATTTCGGGCATTTCTGGACAGTATTGTGGAAAAAAAATGTTCTTCAGCCCCATCCATCGACTCTCCGGCCGTATTTGGACAATTTTGTGGAAAAACCGCTTATTTTATACGAAAATGTACGTCTTTTATTAATAAATATTATAAAGATGATGAGGGACGTTTTTTTATTCATAATTTCGTAAATGTACGGTTTATTAGAAAGTTTTTCACCCTAAACGGTTTTTTTTCCGTCAAAAAAGCCAAAACGTGATGGCTGAAAAACTGAGGGGGCGGGGCTTATTTTTGGACGTCGCAAATCCATGGATTTGCTACCTCCCAATTTTGCGCCGTCGCAAAATGGCCGATTTGCTACCTCCCAATTTTGCGCCGTCGCAAAATGGCCGATTTGCTTCCGACGCCTTTTTTGGAGGTTGCAAATTGAGGTTTCCGCTACTTTTTGAAATTGGTAGCGAATCCAGCAAACATTCTCGAGCTCGAGAAAAAATTCTTATTCCTTCGCTCTTACATACATTATATTTGGCATAAAAGAGCACGTCCTATTTTGCCAGCCCTTCCAAATAAATGCCCACCAAAAAAATTAAAAAATTCCCCACCTCTAAAACATGTCTAGTAAATAATAATTTGTCAACAAATCAATCTTGGGCTGACCCCATTTGGGCTCCATTGGCAACCAAAGACGGCCCTAGGGCATAAATCATCGGGTTGTTTTTTGAAAAATCTTGGCAGTTTATCAGGAATTGAATTTTCGGTTTCAATGGCACAGGTGTTCTTTTGGACTATGGGGCGAAAACATGAATTTTAAAAAGGTTTTATTCCTTGAGAACATTTTAAAACAATTTATTCTTGAAATTTTTATTCTGAACTTCAAGAATACGGCGGTGATCTGACTCTGGACTTTGATCTTGTTGTCGAATCCCCATATGGTTTATTGGACACGGTCCGGGTGGGGTTGATTGGCTGCCCGGTAAAAAGCCGACGGAATGCGGGTACCAAGAAGATCACAGAGAGCGAGTTGAGAAGTGGAAGACTTTGCAGAAGGATGCTGAGCACGTAAAACCACGAAATTGTTGTGTAACCAAAGTAGGCAATAATTATCATTAAACTAGCCGGCAAGGAGAGCAAAAACATTGGGTATAAGGCCTGAAGATTATTTTTATAGTTAGTTATGTCAGTTATCTTGATACAGTGGCGAACTGATCCAGTGGCAAAAAACATACCATTTTGCATCTTGGAGGTATCAAAAAATGTTGCAAAATACCTCCCTCTCCAAGTGAAAAAACTCCGTTTGTTTGAGGGGAAGGGCGCGCCCTTCAAAACAGAGTTTTTCACTAGGAGAGCGAGGTATTCTGCCACATTTTCTGATACTTCCCGGATGCAAAATGGTACGTTTTTTGCCACTAAATCAGGTCCGTCAATATATGTAAACGCTACAGCTCGGAATTGTAACGTATTTGTTATTTTGTGACTTACCTGCAAGACCAGGACTCTAATCATGTAACGCTGAGCGTGAAGGGACCGCTGGACTGTTGGATCAACAAGGCGAATCTGGCGGATTACTTTGATACCAAAATAAATGGCGATACAATAGAAAGCGCTGTGAATGAATTGGTAAAATGTGATGCTGAGGACTGATGGGAGGTGGTTCTAAAAAACGGGTTCAGGTAAAACTCAAAATGTGCTTTTTTTGAAAAGTTGAAGAGTTTTGTTGTAAATTTGGGTACTTTGTTTTTAACGCCTCAGGCAAATTTTTGTACCGGGATTTAACTGTCACTATCAGTCTGTCGGTAAAATAATGAGCACAATGTCGCTGACCCGATCTCGTCGCTGAACTGAAAAGAATTTTGATTTCTCCGCGACACAATTTATAGTCGCGGCGGCGCGATTTTCAATGCGACAGCGTGCTCATTATTTTCCCGACAAATTTATAAGATCATCAACAAGGATTACCCGGGAATTGTTCATCTTCCTCGAAAATTTTTGAACCCACAGCTACGCCAAGAATTCATAATTTCCCCAAGAGCATTGACTACTTTCTGGAATTGCCAAAGTTTAATTTTCATCCTGAATTATTTATGAGTGAAGGTTTACAAAGTTTATTGCCCACTAGATACGTATCTTGAGCGCAAAAGTCACGGACTTACCAAGTCATAGACACAGAAAACCGGAGTGTCATTTTTATAATCGTCCAGTCTTTGCAGCACCTCCTTGTAATCTTTCATGTCCTCAACAGCGAATTGAGAAGCCACGAAATAAATAAAAATAATTGAGAATAAAGAAAGATAGCGTAGTAAATATTTCTTATGCGACCAATGTTTCGAGTTGCAAACCACGTCGTATCGGTACCAGAAATGAACCGCAATACAAAGAATTGTGGTCTCGACCTGTGCTGTCATGATTTGAACGATGAATGCGGTCGATTGAGAAGACATCCATTGAAAGTAAGACCGTTCCACAGTGATCAGAAACATGTGATCAACTAGCATTGGGGTCTAAAATATTATAAATAGCAGACTTTATAAAAATACATAATCTTAGGCCTTGCTAGAAACAGAATCAAACTTGTTTACTACACCCAAGCCAAAAAATTCAATGCGTGTTATCAGTCTGTCGGGAAAATAATGTGGATTTCGCAGCTTGGAATCGCTCATCATCGCTTTGCTACGGCTTGCCGAGACAGGTGATTTGGTGGTCTACTGAGGCTTGACATTTTATAAAACCACATAATTTTTCCGATATACTGATACAATATATTATTCAAAAAAGTGCTCCAAGTGCAATATTCGGATTTTAATGAAATTTGGCACAAGTTTAGATTAATTATTTATAAGACTGAGCGGGACCCAGAACTTGCTTTTCGCAGAAGCGACCAGATTTTTAGATCGAATTTTGGCGAGTGGGGCTGCTCCTGGTATTCAGGAGTTAGAACTTTCATATATTGTAACCTACTCCAGAATTGTGTGAAAAATTTAACGAAAATCTGAGCATGTTTCATCAAAACCGAGTGTCGAATTTGGGAGCTTGTCCATAAATCCACCGGAAATTTCTCCCAAAACGTCATGCGCAAAACTTACAAATGAAAAGACGCATAAACAGCAAGCAAAAGCCAAGTCAACACATGCGTTGAACATGACAATAAATTGATAATCCCTTTGAATCTTCCTGTGCCTCAGCCATCTCGAGCCAATGATGACAAGGGTGCAAGAAACAATAGATGTGAACTGCAGAATCCGAGCAAAGGATTGAAAGTCACCTCGCGACAACATTAGGTTTCAAATAAAATTTATACGAAAGACTGGTGCTGAAACATTAACGCAAATTTTAATTTCATTTCCACGAGAAGTATTTCAGTATTTCAGTTTCGTAAATTGGGTTTAAAAAACACGTATGGGTCGCGTAATATAATAAGTTATAAAAAACATATATGTTCCTTACAAAGCATGGAATTTGTAGGACCATTTACAATCTAGACGCCTAAAAAACTGAGCTGGGATCATATGTTAATCAAAACAGAAGTGTAACGTACCCCACCGATGGGCCGGACTTTCAAAATTTCGCAGTCCCGGACTGGGGCCGGATTCGGAAAATTCGGCCCGGGCTTACGTACCGCCCCGAGTCTGTCCGGATTGTAGCCATGTATATACTCATAACCTTACAATTAGACTCGCTTAATAGGAAAAGGAACTGCTGCTATGAGACCTATTGTGTTATATAAACTACAACGAGTCTCCCTTTCCCTATAAATCTTTAACACTCTTACATACTACATCACTCAAGGACTAGTGTATTTGCATCCCTAAAAAAATACAATGCTTCTCATGTGTAGTAGATATGCGTATTAATGTTTGATTTACTTCGATTTCACCTGCTGCAAAGGAAATGAGAATGGTCTTTTATCTGAATTTTTTTTCTAAATTAATGAAATAAAACAGACACTGCGCTGTTGCAAAATGCGGTTTCGGAGATAGTTTGTGACATGCGGTAATTTGTGGAAAACTTGGCAGAACTCTTTTTCATGAAGCTTTCGTCTGTATTCAATGAGTCGAACTTGTACAAATGGAAAAATACAGTAAATGACTACAAAAAATTTAAGATCAAGAATGCAGCTACATCTTTGGTACACCGAACGCACTGTACAACACAATTTGTAACCTTGACTTACAAGCTGGGTTTCCTTGAAATTTTGCTCGCATAAAAAGAGCTATACACAAAATACCTACATATCTTTTGAGCGTTGCGGCAGAACTCTCCCCCTTTTCTGAACTCTCCCCCTTCATAACTCTCCCTCTTTTTGAACGTCCCCCCTCATTTTGAGAATTGAAAAAATGAGGTGTGACATGTTATACGATGGAAATTTTTTTCAAATTGAGAAAAATTAGGTGTGACATGTTATACGATGGAAATTTTTTTCAAATTGAGAAAATGAGGTGTAACATGTTATACGATGAAATTTTTCTTCAAATTGAAAAAAATTAGATGTGACATGTTATACGATGAAATTTTTTTCGTATTGAAATATAAATTTCCATCGTAGAACATGTCACACCTCGTTTTTCCAATTTTCAAAAAATTTTTCATCGTGTAACATGTCACGCTTCGTTTTTTCTCAATTTGAAAAAAAATTCCATCGTATAACATGTCACACCTCGTTTTTTCAATTTTCAAAAAATTTTTCATTGTGTAACATGTCACACATCATTTTTTCATTTTAAAAATGGGGAGTGTTCAAAAAAGGGGAGAGTTTAGATTTTTTGGTGAAAATCAAAAAAAGGGTTAGAGTTCCGCCTTTTTTGGGGGAGTGTTGAAAAAGGGGGAGAGTTCAGATTAGGGGAGAGTTCAGAAAAGGGGGAGAGTTCAGGCTAAACCCTTTTTTAGTCCCTGTAAAGTTTAGATAGTGCTTTGCAGAGAAGCTGAGACATTCAAAAAACGTTTGCCGAAAAAGAAATACCGCAAAGGTAAAAAAAATTTATGCCCCCACATAGGAGGAAGTGGGGGCAGAAGGAAAACTGTCTATTGCCATGTCTACAATGTACACACAGTAATTTTGTGCTGGAAAAATAAATACGTGTTAGCATCTTGAGTCCTCTCCTTTTGGCTGGATAAGCATTTTGTGGAACAACATTTTGAGTTCTTACCGTCTCAGTTTGAGAGATCAGAAAAGTTCAGAAGTTCTTGTGCAACAAAAGTCGGACATTTTACCTAAAATGTAGCTATCAATTACTTGACAATTCGTCGAAAAAGCCGCCCGATCCGTTTCTTTTGATTCATATTTATAAAGATCTGCAGTGTTTTTCGTCATTGACTAATCGGCATCCCACCAGACTTGTAATCACTTTTTGCGGATTTGTCGGCTTTCTCGGCAGCAGCGCGGTGTGACCTTTTCGTAGTATATTGCTACTACCGTGTTTTCTACTGCAAAACAAGATCTGGAAGATTTCTTCTTTTGCTGAATGCAGCGGTTGTGGCAGCCAGACAAATGCTTTTTTATCTACTATCCCGAAGAGATCGTCGACGAAAACTGTGAAAGATGTCTACAGTGGCGGACCTGATTTAGTGGCACAAAACGACCATTTTGCATCCGGGAAATAACAAAAATGTTGCAAAATGCCTCCCTCTTCAACTAAGAAATTCAGTTTTAAAGAGCGGGCTTTTGAAATCGTAGTCTTTTCACTTGGAGAGAGGAGGTATTTTGCTACATTTTTGACACTTCCCGTTTGCAAAATTATTCGTTTTTCGCCACTGGATCAAACCTACCATTTTGCATCCGGGGAAGTATCAAAAATATATAGCAAAATAGCTCCCTCTCCATCTATAAAAAGGCTTCATTTTGCAAAAAAGAGCGGGCGCTTTCGAAATCAGAGTTTTTTCACTTCGAGAGGGAGGTATTTTGCTACATTTTTGGTGCTTTCCGGATGCAGAATGATTTGTTTTTTGCAGCTGGATCAGGCCGCCACTGTATTTGTAAATGCTTTTTACCATGCCCTGTTATGGCTCCTCAACCACATGACCTAAAAAAACGCTGTCGATCTAGATTAGACACACAAATCGGAGATTGGCCCCGTTTTCTCTTTCATCTGACAACGTGCTGATAATTTTTGCTTAAGGCGATAATTATCACCATCTACTAACTGCTTCATTATTTAAAAAAAAAACTACGTTATTCTTGCCTTATACGGCAAAAACAAAAATGAGAGTTTGCATTACTGTAATTGCGGCAAACTTTTGTTTTTTTAGTCTAAGAACAGCGGAATAACACCGCTTGCTTTGATCGAATATTATAATTGCGCGATCTGGCCATGAGAGTGCACTTTGAAGGGTCAAAAAAGTTGCCGCACTTGGCCGTTTGTGCTGCGCCGCCGAATAATTACGCCGCTTAAAACAACTAAACGGTTTGCTAGGCAATTTATATAGTTCAAGAGCCGCGTTGTGGAAGATGTTAGTGCAGACTGCAATCTAACGTATAATTAATTGAAAAAAAGAGTTTTTTGCATTAAATTGGGACCCTGTTGACCTCCAAAACCAAGCGCATCGAGGTATATTACCCCTAATCCTCATCACTTCTCCTTCTTTATGACCTCATCGTCATTTCCACTTATCTAATTTCAAAGCGACATCGCCTAATCTGTGAGTGACCCCGTCGTGACCTTTCTCGTCTCCGCTTGCGGAGCGCGTGTCAGTGCAATTCGACCAAAAAAGGGGCCGTTGCGTGGTGCAACATTTCTTTACGCAAATGCAGTTTTTTCTCCACATGTTGCCAGTGAGATGTTCAGAGAAAATGGAGGAGATATATGTATGTACATGATGCTTTAGGGATATTTATATTGTAATCATTTTTTGGGGAACATCTGTAATGTGAACTTTCAATAATTGACAGTCTTTTTTACAGAGGAATTAAAGCTACAAGTCTACCAAATCTTCATAAAATTTGGTAGACTTGTTTTGTATGTAATACTCAAATTTTTATCTATTCTTTGCTGTTGTAGATAAGCTACGAATTTGCAAGCACTACAGAAAATCAAACCGGAAGAAAAAAGCTTATGATGTCATTATTTCTTGTCACGATTCCTGCCATTATCTGCTCTTGCCCGGCCCTCCCCCTGATCTGACAACTAAGCCTTAATCCTTTCCATTTCATCAATTCCTCTCCCTTTCTTTCCCCCACAAATTTGCATAACCATCCATCTTCCTTGCCCATAACCTGACCTCATCGCGAACACCCGTTGACCCAGTTCTGAACCGGGCACTGTTAGGCAACCCCCGCCGAAACGCAGCGGGCGAAAAGGCCTGGCACTGTTGCATTACCAAAAAATACTGCGCACGAAGAGAGTGCGCCTCGCGCGGAGGGCGCCGGCCGGATTTACGAGCGCCGCTGACCTTTCGGACAGTTGGGGACGCAAAGGTCAGAACGCTTTCTGGATGGCGACTGTTGCGCTTCGGCTGACCTCATTTTTTGTGAAGGGCGATGACCGAGACGAGGCCGGCCACACTGCGAGGGGCAAGGGCATGGGTGCGGTAAAAGTTGAGGTCAGCGCTAATCATTGGACTGTGGATTTGAAGGTGGTCGGGATGGAAGGAGCATTTAGAGGGTCTTTAGGATAACCTTTGTATCAAAAATTGATGTTCCAAGTGCTCTTAGGATTAACTGTTTAAGGAATTGCTTTGAATGGGCAACTTTTTTTTACTTGAATATATGTTATATTAGGCTTACGTTAGAGGTGTGAATGTGTCGTTTTTCGTTGGGCATTTTTGAAGGCAGAATTAAATTTCTGGAACTTCTGTTAATATCACCTGAAAGAACACTGAAAACGTTATCTACAGATATATGTTTCATATGGTCAGGCTTAAAATAGCGGTTTCTATAAAGCTTCAAAGATGACCAATATGAAGAAGCTGCAGAGTTATTTGTCCCAGAGCCTTGTCTCGTTCTTTGCGCAATTAGTTATTACAGTCCGTGTTCTGGCAACAGTTGTGTTCTCGTGTCTGGTCCAAATATTATAATTCCCGACATCTGTTGTTGCGCGGCGGAGGCTTTGATATGCGCTTTGCTGAGCTGATCTGGCATGCGTAATTTTTTTATTTAACCTTGTAGACAATCTTCTCGTATTTTATACTTACTTAAGTTGAAATGTGTAAATGATTTTTTCGAACATTTAAATTCTTGCCGTCACTTACAACTTCTACTACCGTCTTACAACTTACAACGTCTTCACCGCGCAAAGTTCACACACAAACTCAATCCAAAGTTGAAGAGTTTTAATCTTTTCCCGACGTCTGGATTCCAGCGGAAAACCCCCCGCACACAACTACATGGGATAACACATGCAACAGTGACTTTCGCTTTCAAATTTACTTTTCGTTTTTTTGCGCGATCGTTTTCCTAATGGATTGACCCATATCCGCGCGCAAGGTGGAAACGATCGTGGAAGAAAGCGAAATTCCGCTGAGGGAGAAACGAACTCCCCTCAATCGAGGCTAGCCGATATCCGGTCCGGTGAGGGCTAATAGTCTCGGTCGACGTTTCGTATTTGCCTTTTCCGTGCTGCGCACGGGGGTCATGAATTACATTTTTTTGGGGGCTGGAGGGACGAACGTTGGGGATTTGTAGGGTTCAAGAGGATGCGCTTGAGACATGACGGTATAGACAACCGATGAGATCGCCAAAGCTTAGAACCTTGCAAGTAAGAGACATAGAATAGTCATCAATTTCGATTTTATTGTCATAACAACTGCGAAATTTTGAGCTGTACTTGTTTTACAGTACTTTTTTAGTCCTCACAGGACAAAAAAAAGAATCCAATTTCCTTCTTTTTAGTTACTTAATGTTCTCTGTAACACTCTATCAAATGCAATTTTCACCATTTCCCCAAGTTCAGCTATTTTTCAAGCCGTTGTTTACCTTTTCCTCAACTGGATTTCCCTTTCAAAACCCTCGCTCGGCAATTGAATTGAAGATGACTTTCGCTAGAAGAATGCCGTCGGATTTGCACAAAAATCCAGAAAATAATAAAAAAAGCGTCCGTCCGAAACTGGGTCAATGTTGAGTGGATTTCTTCTTCAACGAAAAGCGAGGGAAAACTGGAGGGCAATGACCCCTTTCGAACTCGTACAAAAAAATAGCTTTTGTCCGGTTAGCCGGCGACCTCAATCCGCTGCTGGAAATTCATCCCCATAGCCCGCCGGATCGGCGCGGCTTCTCGGCAAGTGTTTTCCCATGCCGCTTTCACTTTTTCGGAGGGATCGTACACAATGTTTTGAGGGTGGCGAAGGTGTAATGTGAGCAGGAGGGGTTGGAATGGGGTTGGCAAGGTTTGAAATTGACGGTTGTCCTAATGAGGTTGGCTGATCGGTGAAGTGATGGGCGTGAGTAAAGACAGGCCAATACGAGGCTAGCTAATCTTTAGTCGTTGTGGTGAGGGGTTTGTCTCATAAAAACTTGATAGGGCAGCTGAAATTGATAGTACAACTCTCAAAGCAATTTCCAGAAAAGCAAATTTTTGATTTTGTTTAAAATTCGCTTTTTTTCGCCCGGCAAAGCACCAACTTTCGTCTCAAAAATCTCGAAAAAAAACTGTAAAATTATTACCAACTTATGACTTAAAAAGTTCAGCACTTTATGCACAGCACAAGCTAAAAACTTGGCCTGTTTTTCACAAATTTTTTTCACAAATATTTTCTAGATTCGTGCCAAGTGTCATCACAATCTTGAACCCTAACTTCTGAGTTATTTCTCCGTTTTCAACAAATTAAATTACATTTTTAAAATCCCCACTTTGGCCCACATCTCTACAAGTTCCCATGACCCATTACTGTCTAAATTGCCTCAACTCAACAAACCATAAAGCTCAATTCTCTCCGGAATGACATTAACCTGGTTTTTTTAAAGTACAACTCGCCTTTTTTAGACGCATTAGGTTAGGCTTGTAAATCGGTCAGTTGAAACATTTTTTCGTTTTTTTATTTCGAAAGCAAAAGTTCAATCGGAGCGATTACTTGGATCCCAATCGGGATGTGGGATGTGTGAGACAATAGGTCAGAAAACATGAGACTTTGAACTCAGAGCTCTTTAAAAGACATCAAATTTTTTGGGTTCCTTGGACAGTCTTATGAACCGGTATTAGGTCTAATTGTAATACCCCAATTTTGGTGACTGTATATACGTATATTTCAAACTTCGCGGGATATCTCAAATCTCTTTTTATCCGGCGCGATTTGACAATTAGCCCTCGTCACTCGAGCCGCCATCCTCAGAGAACGATGAGAAGAAAAAAGTTTAGGAGGTCAAGTCCGGGTCGCCCGCGCAACAGCGGAAAATTTTCGCTTTCCTTTCGTGGAACCGGTTTTTCCGGAGTGACCGGAAATCTCTCCTTAATGTTACAAAAGCCTGTTGTTTTTTCAGTTGTAAGCGGGATTACAGTAGGTCATTATTTTTTTGTTTTTTCTGTATTTGTCATCATTTCAAAAAACAATTTTTTTAGCCTTTTTTTACAGTTTAAAATCGTTCTTGACGATTCTTTTTAACGCTGGCCTTTCCCCCTCTCTCGGCGTGAATTCAAAAATAATTCTAAAACAATGCGAGGCTCGGGTTGGATTTCGGTGCCGACAAGCGATTGGGAAAAAACAATACGAAGCGTCGTCTTTGTCGGCGCATTACACAATTCTTGGCAACAATCGTGTCTTTTGTTTTTGACCGTACAAGTGGGCCAAAGATTTCATTGAGATTTGAGTGCAAAATGCCAATTAATTTTTGCGGTTGGCTTGGGTAGTTGATTGAGAGTGTAAAAAGGAGTAATCTGCAAGGACTTGGCTGAAATATGCAAAGAAAAAATGGGGTTAATAGATTTTTTGGCTCTAATGAGATACCTGGATTTTTAGGTCGTCTAAAATGAGCTTCTGGAGTAAAATACGCCTTCATTTTTTCGAAAATTTTTGCAAAAATGTCCTTTTCAGCAACAACAACGCCTTTTGACTAGCTACTCCAGTCTTATATCTACTTATTTAGATAGCTGTCTCAAACTAGCAAGTCATTTTTGGGCTCACCAGAGCACTCTCTCCAGCTCACTAAAATTCCCCACTTGTTTTTTCCAACTTGTTGACCACCATTGACCTCTGAGCATCCTCCCCGCTTTCCCCTCCGGCTTGTGGTCGCCCCGCTCTTCAGCGGCGCGATTCCGGAACGAGGGTCTTAACCAAACGGAAAGCGCCCAAGGGAAACCGGTCCGAATGCCAACGGATTTCGACAAGATCTCCTCCAGCGACCAATTACGCGACAAGCCGGTTCCCCACACAGCCGACGGGTCAAAGTGTCACGGCAACACGTAATCACGCGCCACATTGGTCTGCGGCAGAAGGAACATAAACTTGACGAACTCCGTGATGATTTCATGGGGATGTGAGAGCGGAGGGGTTGTGTGAGCTGGGCGATTGACGAATGAAAAAGGGTGTAGTGATTACATCTTTTTTGTTAGTTGGAAAGGACGCTTCTGACATTCATTGCATTGATGTTTGAGGATTTCTAGGTTCAATGTTTTGGATGATTTGAATTTTTGCCAAAAAAAAGATACCCTTTGAAAATATACGAAGTTTAGAACTTTCTGATACGATTTTTTTGTCTGCTATTTGATGTGATTACTGAGACTTTCAGCAACAATTTTTTCGGGATTTATAAAAAACATGTGGCCGAAATAAGCTATATCTTCGGTACTCATTTTTGCTAATTTTGATTACGTACCTCTTAGTTTATCAACTTTGTTTTTCCACGCCCAACCTCTACCCATCGCAAATTCTCTCCCCAATTTCCTTACGAATCTGTTTAACTTTCAAATCACCGGACCGCTCATTGTTCTCCGCTCCGCACGGACGGATCTTTCCGTGTCCATTCCGCCGTTCCGCCCTGACCGTTCCCGTGTTTTTGGCCTTTGTTGCGATCGTGTTTTTAAGTGCCCTTTTGAATTTTAAATTCATCGCCGTTCTTCTCCCACACACACACACACAAATCTAGACTTGAATGCTTGCAGGACGGTTTTGGGTAGATCTTCGAATGGTTGGCGTGGAGTTGAGCGACGTCCAGTCCAGCGCGCCAACCTCGCCCGGCTCCAGTCCGCGGAGCGAGAAGAGCAAGGAGAACGATGCGGATGAATCGGTGGCGTCGTGCGAGTCGGATCTGAGGTGAGTTGACAATAGTCATCAGTTGGGCCCGAAATGTCAATCTCAAGGTTTCTGCGACTACTCAAAATTTCGACAGTTAAAACCGATCTATTTCTAAAAAAACTCCCAGAAAAATTTGAACAATTCTGAGTGTTTTCCCTTGAGCTATTTACCCCGTGCCATCAATGACTCGTGTTTTTAGCATCGACCAAAAGCTCTCTTCCCAATGGCGCAAACGCTCAACAGCCGACAACTGTCAACGGTCCGACTCAAAGACCTCGAAACGACGTCCACTTGAAGAAGAGATTGAACAAAGACTTCGACAGTTAACTCAAGAAAACAACTTCTTAAAAAGTCAGCTGGAGCATCGGCAAGGCGAGTCAGTCATCGTTGCCGGTCCAAATACGGTCGAAAGTTCTTCAAGTTTAAATCCGCTTCTTCATAAGTCCTCCAGTTTGTTGACTGTAAAGGATATGACCGATGATTTGAATAATTCCACGTCTTCCAACGATGTTACAACGACGACAACTGATGAGCCGTCATCGCTCGATAACACTTTGTCCAGCGGAATTATCCGACCAACTCCACAATCGGCTTCAATCGACCTATTGAATTTCGCCAATGATGGGTTAAACAATAATTCAGCGACTTTACAAACTGCCGGCAGCGCCTTCCAAAATCCCACTTTGAACAATTTGTATTCGGCTTTGAATACAACCCCTGCATTCCAACAGCTGGCTTCAATATTGTATCCAAACAGCTTCGATACAAGCGCGTTGTATGGGGGATTGTTCAATGGGATGTCGCTGAATTCGCTGGCAAATTTACAGGCAATTTTGCAACAGCAACAGCAGCAACAACAGGTGAGTTGGGATTTGTGTTTTAATTTGAAGGAAATGGCTATGAAAGGGCCTTAAATTTAGGCATTTCGTAATCGCATAATGCTGAATTTTACGCGGATTTCCCCAACAGAACTTTACATTATTAAACCAAAGATCATATTTTCGCTGCTTGCCAGGAACCTCGGTGGTTTCTGCATAATATAAATTAAAATTTTAACACCTCTTTTCACAAGGTATAATATATTATAAATTTGGCGGCTGCAACTTTTCGGGTCACTGACAGTTCGAGTCAACGATACTATGGATCGTGTCGGTTTGTCGTTGTATGTATGCATGTAAAAGGCTAACAGAAGGCTTGGTTAGTAAAAATAATAAAATTAACCGGGTCCTAGAATAGACTATCACCTATTTTGAAGTATCTTACATGCGCTTACATCAAAAATATCTAAATAAAAGCTACGGATCTTCGTTTTTGCTGCAAATTTTGGTCTTGTATATTTTACAATTACTCAGGATAAAGAGTAGTAACGTTAGTAACAGATCAAATTAGAAAAAAGTGGGCATATTGCAAGCCTTCGCCAAGTCTCCGCCGTTGGTCCGCCGACATTACAACGGCTTTGCCAGGGTTTGTAGACACTTATTATAATCTTTTTTGGGTATCACCCTGCCGTACGGGTCTATTGCACCATTACATTCAAGGTAATATACAAATCCAAGGTGTAAAGCGACAAGTGATTTTTTGTTTTGTTTTCAACGGACTTTACATCGACGTATTGACCCTCCTGATATTCTACTTTTAAAATCAGTCCCTCTGATCTACCATACCACCCTCACGCTTTCAAAATCACTACCAAATCGGGTCAAAAACATGTTGTTTTCCAGGGTCCGAAATCACCCGTTCACGGGAAATTTGCATAATCGCCGAACGCACTCGAATTACCGACAAAAAAATTCTTTCCTTGACCCAGAAATTCGGCGGCAGAGGGCAGTGTCCCCTTTTTTATCTGACAAATTGAACACGGATACCTGCGGGCGTATTTTTCCTTTTCGAATATTTTTCGATTCCTTTCGAAATCCTCTTGCCCTGAGGGTCGGGAAAACATTGTGCGGTAGGTGAAAATATCATCGATGGTATGCGGAAGTGCGATTTTTCCCAATATGTTAGCCGCTTGTTTCAAGTCGTTTTTGATTTCACAACCCGAATATAAAAAGTAAAATGGGTCATTTCTGGGTTGTCTGCACTCCTTTTTTTCTTATTTTTATGCGGTGCGGATGTCAGCGAGTCGTTTTTTCTCGGGAAACACACAAAACTTTAAACGGAATTAGTGTTTTGACGCCGTTTCGGTTCTCGGCAGGGGTGTTAAGACGGAATTTTGGGGGAAATTTTTGATTCAAAACCTGAGATTTTGATATCATGCCGTGGAAATTTTATGTCCAATTTAGGCCAAAGTTTATAAAGATGGAAAAATCGTATTTAGCATACTCGAGGATTCATTTTTGAATATTGCACTTGGCATTTGCACTATTATATTTATGGAGTCCTCTTTTATAATTTTGATATATTTTATTCTTTTACCCATATCATTTCAGACCTTCTCAGCCTTCGCCTCGGCCACAGCCCTCACAGCGCCCTTGGATCCGTCCTCGCAGCCAAATTCAACCCAAAATTTTACCGATCTCGCCAAAGAACCTCTCAATTTATTGACCCAAAACCCGCTATTCCCCAGCACAACCCAACCGCTTGCGCAGAACATGCGATTTGAGGAGTTATTCCCGTCCAGTTCCAAGACAGATAGCAAAGGAAACGAAGCCGAAAATTCAAAAAATCTGAAGTCGGAAGGAAGTGACGAGAAATTTTTGGTCAATGCCGAAGCCGATTTCCCGGTTGGGGCGTCACAGATCTTACAAAGAGGTAAGAAATTTTTAAGCTTCATATTTTTTGGAATGTTTATGATTAGACATGATTTTATCCTAAAATTCTAAAATTTTAATTTTAAAATCCAGTTGTTTTTAACGCGCAAGCCGCTGAATTACCCGACGATCAGCCTAGATTTCACACTATGACCTTATTTCACAGACGAACGCACTTTAGCCCTAAAAAATTTCGAAATTCGCTAAGAAATGAGGAAATGAGCGGAATTTCACAGAAATCGCCGAGTTTCGAGTAATCTTTAAATTTTCTTACTGGAATTTGGTTTGTGCGGCAGTTTTTTCTTCAAATTTATAGTCATCCTCTGCAATTCCAACTTTACCTTTGAATTTCTCTAACTGCCTCCTCATTTTATGCACTCTTTTCGTAGTTTCTCTGACCTTCCTCTCTTTTAGTGCACTCTTTTTTGCTCAGACGCACGTTCTCCCTTCTTTCAAAAGGAAATAAAATGTTTGTCCTTTCCCGAAACGCAAAAAGAAACGGCCCACTTCTTCCGAAAGGACGCACAAAAAGAGCGACCGAAACGAAGGGGCGCCCGAGAGGAAGAGAGAAGAGAAAAGAGCGCGCATTTCTCTTTCTCTCTGCTTGCATTTTCCCCGTTCCAAAAGCGAAAGCGGGTTTTTGGACCCTCCGTTCCGTTGCTTCTATCTTCGAGATCATGCTTCACAGGATCATTTCTGTAGTAAGCATACTCTCGTCTAACGTCTAGGTTTCACCACCTGACTCTGCGATGATTGAGTCGTGGTGACCCTTCCAGAGCGTGAAGTTCGCTCCGTTGGCTAATGCAGTCGATGGACCGTTGAAGATCGCGAATTGTGCACCTGGAGCACTGTTCACGGAGGGGTCGCTGGCTGAGCAGAGCTGAATTTTGTAAAACAACAATAATTTATTTTATTGTAGTGGTTATGTGTGATGTTGCTGTCATTGTTGATTATTGATGATGTTGTTGTAGGTCCTCGAAACGTTCAATTTCTTAACCATCTTCCGACAGCCCATGAACCTCGATCTTCTGTTCTTCATCACACCGACGTCACTCAATCCTCTTCAAATCAATGGCCAACCGCTTCAAAAGTCGAACCGACTCCAATCAACCGCCCTCTGAACCTCGATTCCTCCTCTCATTCCCTGTTGAGCTCCCTTCTCGCTCATCCTCGACGTAGTCCGGCCGTTCCGGAAAGTCGGACTGAAAAACAATCGGGACTTGTTGACCGAAAGCCTGAGGGGAAATGCTCTCCACACTTGGTCTTGTCGACGAACGCCACGAATAAAAGCGATTCGGATTCTTTGGGAAGTCCTCATTCAACGAGATCCACAACGGATTCGAATCGAAGCCAGACTAGTCCAGCACTTCAAGGAGAAAATGGTGGGGCAGGAGGGTCCAGTGGAAATGAAAAAAGTGATATTGAAAAGGTAAACATAAAAGAATTTTGAGATTTACGTACCATTAGGAAGCTTGGAATTTTAAAATCTTGAAATCTGAAAAAACGTTCCATAAAATTGCAAAAATAAGCGTAGTTTCAGTATATGGACCGCCGTCGCCGCAACAACGAAGCCGCGAAACGATGTCGCGCCAATCGTCGCGCCGTCTTCGAATACCGCTCTCGTCGCGCTCAGCAACTCGAATCCGAGAACAACGATCTACGCCAAGAAATGATGAAGTTGAACAACGAACTGGAACAACTCAAAGCCGTCATTCAAGCGAGTCAACGGCAACTTCATGTCTGAAATCGTTTTTTTTCGTTCCTCACAGTGCAGCTATCATTCTATTCGCATTGTCGTAGAAAGCAACTGTCGCCTCGGCGCTTTAATTATTGTATTCCCAACACTTACATATTCGAAAAGCCTTAAAATTGTCACAGTGCATTATATCCCGTTTAAAGTTTCCATTTTGTAGCTGGTTGTGAATTTCCATTTTGTCGATGGAAATGAAAATTTCTGTATGTATAAATTGATAGAGTCGGGATTGGCTTGATGGAGAAGTTCTTTGAAAAATGGCAAATTTGTGTTGAAAAAATGGGTCCGAGGCGCGACGATCCGCCGTTGTTTTCCCGACAAACTGATATTTCGGGTTGCCGTGCCATCTACGTTCACTGGCATTGCATTTTATGAAAAACGAACAAAAAGAGGGCGACTGAAAGCTAAAAACTTTATTCGTGCAAATAAATTAGATTTTGGGATGACTAAAAGCTTGTAATTGCTCTAAACAGCAGTAACATCAGCCTTCTTGTAGATGCAAACCTTGCCGTCACCATCTTGGCCCTGCTTGTAAGAGGCCACTCCTTTTGGCTCAACCTTGTTGTCGTTGACTCCTTTGAAGTTTTCGCAAGCCGTTCCTCCGGCTGGGATTTTCACATTCGTCAAGGTGGCGGTGTCGCCGTAATTTCCGTTCACACCGGCGAGCACCAACATTTTTCCGGAGACGGTGACGCCATCCATAACGACGTGACGATCGAACCCGTTGTTAACGCAGTTTCCACAAGAGCGGTACAGTTTTCCGATGTCTTGGGCCTAAATACGAGGAATTGAGTAGCCATAAACAGACTTTTGGCAAAGGCTAACCGAGGAAGTACCCCAAGTGCGACGCTCAGATTTTGATGAAACTTGGCAAAAATTTAGAATAATATTTTCTAAAATATACGCGAGAATCCTAGCTCGCGCTTTGCAGAAACCGCCGAGATTTCTTGGTCGAAAAGTGACAAAATTTTTAGACTTTTTTTCGAATTTCGGAACGAAAATCCCTGTTTCTACCGTGAAGGTTAATGTTTCCACAAAAAATTAACTTTTTCCGGACGAAACTAGCAAAGTTATGGCTAAAAAGTGTTTTTCTCTCTGGCCGATCTCCACGTTTAGCGTGCTCTGTCGGCCGCAAAGATCATATCTGGCGTTCGAATATCTGGGCTTCGCCTTCAAAGCGCGAGCTAAAACTTTGAGGAATTGATGCTTAGTCTATGCCCGAAGTGGGCGCAAAATTTAAAGAAAATCTTAGCGTCGCACTTGGGTACCTCCCTTGTAAATGAAAGAGTATTTTGAAAGCCTTGAACTTCAACCTACATCAAAGTTCTTGATGGTAACAGTACCGCCTCCATTGTGTTGGAAGACCTTGTCATCAGCTTTCTTTGCTCCTCCGCCAATGATGTTGTACTTGTCTGAGGCCTTGCCTTTGAAGGTGGCGGCATCTTCTCCAACATCCTCCCAGAAGACATTGGTGATGTCACACGATCCCATACAGTGGATACCATCGGCTGCGGGGGCTCCAATGACAACGTTCTTGATGGAAGCTCCGGCTTCCAGTTCAAAGATGGGGTCTTGGCCTTCTTCCTGGTCACCACCGCCCCAACCGCTGACAAATCGCTGGTTCTTTCCGTCGAACACTTCGCCGGCTTTAATCACCATCTTCTTTGGGACTTTGGTCGACCCGGAAGGGTTGGGCCAAACAGCGGAATCGACCGCTACAACTGAGAATGCCAAAACGGCAAGGGAGAACAGGGCCATCTTAGATAGCTGATATGAAATTGATGAGTAACCAAAAATTCGGGAGCTTTTATACGGTGCTGTAGAAAGGCATGGCCGGCTAAAGTCACATATTTGTCGTGTTGACTCAGCTGAATTGGTGGGTGAAACACCGAGGGCACTCTAGAATAACCACGGAACGTTTACAGGTGCTCCAATAGGAACGTTTTCAAAGCGGTTTAATAAAAAACAGCTATCGAGACGCCAGTGGAAAATTCAACGGGACGAAACATAGTTATGTTTGAACAGGATATCACGGAAGTCTAGTACGCTGAATACATATTGATCCCTTCAGAAACGGACGGCTGGCTTAGTTGTGAACTGTTTGAGGTGAAATATGTGAACTGTTCGAGGTGAATACTACAGAAAATGAGTATTGCCGAGCCAGTGGCTGGGTAAGATGTCTTTTTGCAAGCAATGGGAGCGCGTGGCAACCCGAAGTGCTTTCTGGCTCGTTTCGACACTTTGCCCATTTTGTATCGGTTGAAATCAAACGAAATGTCACAGAACATGGCATTCTGTACTTTTCGGACACAACCGACCTCCGCGACTTTTTCTATTTTTTTTCGGAATGCGCTTGCTTTCTCTCTCCCTATCTAGCTAGCCGTTTGAGCTAGAAGGCTAAAATTTGGCACGGTAGTAGAGAAACACGGCTTTCAGAAAATATAAATATTGTAAGGAACCCCATCGTATAAACTTCGCAATACGACTGAAAAAAATCATTTTTAAAACTTCTGCAGCTCAAAAGTGCAAGTTGCATGATCGTATTGACAGATTTTTTAAGTCTATGTATGTCAAATTCGATTCTCAACAAGATAGCCAAATCTCATCTTATTCGATTTGCATATATTTTTCTCGGAATTATTACGCTTCGTTTGTCAATTTTGGCAATTCGTTTGGACGAAACTCAAAAGTGGGCGTGAGATCCAAGCGTCGAAAGATTCTTACAATTAGAGATTAAACCTAACCTTCAAATCAAAATATCTCATTGGTTTGCTGGAAAGTTCGAAAAAAAACATATTTACAATAATGCCCAATGATGGTTCAATACATCACAAACACAATTTTCATTTCCTTTATTACAATAAAAATTGAAAAAAAGAAGAAAAATACAATGTTGTACCGGATTCGTTTCTTGTTTGGACGTAAGTTTATGGGCATAGTTTTTGAGAAGAAAACTTCTAGACATAATGTTTTCTATTAGACAGTAATTTACACTACCATAAATGTTTGTTTGTAAAGTAGCAAAGGCAAAATTGCAAAGAGCGGATTTCATCTTCTGCGTAGTGCTGAGAAAGATTGAATCCACTCGGTTCCCTGAAGAAATTTGTCGAGAAAAAATTAATAAAATAAAATTTTGAGACATTCAGAAATCTGTACAAAAAAAAGATGCAAAAGTTTTGCATCTTGTCGAAGGAAGAAAGACCCGATCAAAAACTTAAAACTTGATGGCAAAGGCGGGCTCAAGCAAAGTTGTCCGGCGGGTTGTAGATGGTCTTCTCTTTGTAGTAGATCTCGTCATGTTCTTTGTCACATATTAGCATCAACGAAGCGCCAAAGGTGATGAGCATGGCTCCAAAAGCTACGCCATAAGACCAGTCGAATGCCCAGTTTCGGATGCCATAGGTGTTCATGGTGAAGAAGAAACAGACTGGGTAGACAATCAGGGCGGTCAGTTGGCAGAGAACTGAAAATAACCGGGTTAAAATTGAGTTAGATGAACTTGGATTTGATAATATTTCGATTTTTTGAAAAATCAATAGTAAGTTGGCGAAATGTCAAAAAATGAAAGTTAGCCTATAGTTTCGAAATGACCTATTTTCCATCACTTCTTTTGCAGCAAATTACTTTTTCACTTACCACTAAACAATGCCGCATACGTTGCTCCTTTGTAGAACGTATGTTTCTTATGCAGATCATTCGTCTTCAAGCCCAAAAGATTCGCCAACAACCCGATAAATGTGGCCAGCGCTGCGACGATCAGCAATCCCGCGACTGCTTTAACATATACCAAGTTGGCTCGAGTAATTGACTGACATGTTCCTTCTGCTGGAGCATCAGGAACAGGCACGATGTTAGCCGGTCGACCATTGTTGGATTCGGCAGTGCATTCCTCGAACAGTCCTGTGTGAAACCGGTCCGAACTGACCCAGGACTTTGTTGAGAGAGCGATAATTAGGAGGATGAGAGAGAGAATCAGGCAGATCAGGGCGATTACCTGGAAAATCGATGTTGTTGGGAGGGTCAGACTGAAGTTAAAAATAAGTAGGCCGAATTTCTTTTTTGCAAAATGAAAATGTTTATTTACAAGGAAAGTATCGCAACTGCGACGCTCAGATTTTGATGCAACTTGGCTTAAATTTTACTAAATTTTTTCTAAAGAATATGCGAACCTTCTAGCTCGCGCTTTGCAGAAACTACCGAGATTTTTTTTATTCCAAAGGTTTTAAAAAATGCGATTTTTTTTGCAAATTTCGACAAGAAAAGTTTATGTCTATTACTAACATATTTTCTCTGCTAAAGATAGTATTTTTTCTCTGCTAAAAGTAGTATTTTTTACGTGCGAAATTGCCAAAGATACGGCCGAAAAGTGTTTTCTTTGACCCTCTCCGTGTTTTGCGTGCTCTCTTGGCCGCAAAGATCGTTCCATATCTCGGCTACCTGCAAACTTTCAGAAATTGATATGTGGCCCATGCTTAGTATTGTGCAAAGTTTAAAAAAAGTCATCGCAGTTGAAACTCTTTCCTGGTTAGTAAACTTTGAACTTTCCTTTGAAATTCGTATTTTTACTCTGTTTTTGACTTAAAATTAGCCTATTACAATAAGATTGTACGACTTGAAAACTAGCCTATTACAATATCTAGGTAAAAAAAATGTTTTTGGAACAAAAACTGACCTTCATAGGCCGCACGACGGACACTGTCTCTATTGTCGTGGTCTGGGCAGCCATTTTAGGCCTGAAAAATTGTACAAATCAAATCGTAAAATACGCTGTGGAATATATTCTCGAAATTAACAATCATACATACACGTTATAACCACGAAAATAACGCAAAGAAATTTCCGGAAAATAACCGAAAAATACTCGAAAATTGATTTCGTTTTTTGTGCCGAAAACTTTCCCCCCATCCGGCCAGCTGCTTTTTCTCTCTCAAATGCCCTGAGGTCAGAGAAAAGTTTAAACGGGAAAAGAGTCCACTCAAACATGAACTGAATATTCAGTTACGAATTTCCTCTCGCCGAGAGCTGTTTAAACTTTTGCAATTTAGACTAACGGCCTTCAGGCGGAATTTTGTGAATCAAAAAGTAATGAGAAAATGAATTGATTTCGTAAAATTTACGAAATGGACTGCAGAGTAGGAAACTGGGGTCAAGATAGGGGGGTAAAATTAAAATAGGTTAAAAGAGGCCCAGTATAGTTATATACTTTCGAACAATTTTAGGGCTTGGGAAACTAAATGTGCAAAAAATTACTGTGTAGGAATAACAACATGAAAAAATTGTAGTGAGATCCTGTACCTGTAGTAATAATGATAATATAATATTTTACTGTTTGAAGTTTTGCCGGGTTCATTTCAAGTTGCTACAAGTCCTTCCGGAAAGTCGTTGGACTGATTTTTGGCGTTTGCATTGTGCTAAAAAAGTCAGGGACAGTCGAAAAAGCCTATTGTACGGTGCAAAAAACAAGAAATTGCACAGTGCAAAGAAAACTTTTGTTTTTGCACAGTGCGTGTTGCCGATTCTTGTCCGGCGATTTTAAAGCCTAGAAGGACTAGGCTTCAAATGTAGTTATTCAAACATTTTCAAGGGTTGTTTACAAGAAAATTTTCTTTTTTTATCCTCTAAGCAACCGTTTCGCTGAGAACTTTTTGATATCCTGAAGCTGAAAATCCAAAAAGCCTCAAGATTTGTTACAAGATTTTGGCGGGGAGAAGCGTTCCTTATATAAATTCTCATCATGGCCATAGCCTAAATAAAACACTTTTATGGAAAACTATTCGTTGTAGTTAGTAAAGATATATATCACTAAAACAGAGTGTATTTCTATCCCCCAAAAAAAATTCTATGTTCTCCATAGCTTAATGGCTGAAAAGATCGAAAAAATATTTCGATTGCGCCTAAAAAGGTGGGTAAAATTTTCACAAATTGAGACGGCGAGTAAAGCTTGAACAAAGAATCATCACACTTTCAGAAACTTCCTATTTAGCCCATCAATATTACCGCAAAAATCTTCATTCATCTAGCCAAAAATCGCTGACTAAAAAAGAAAGAAAAAATAAGAAAAATTACGGGTAAAATACGACGTATGCACCGATTTGAATAAAACAGAAAAAAATCAAGCAAATTGCATCACCAAAACCCTCCAACTCCATAAAACCCGCATTTCGCGCGGAAAATATCTCCTCAAACTAAACCGAAAAATGCTGTCTTCCACCCGCAGAAAATTTGCATATTCACCAGGGATTTCGCGCAACAAAATATTCCACGGAGCTAAAAGGGGAGATGAAGCTGAAAAATTGCGGAAAACAGATAAAAGAGCGGGCTGTTGAAGGCTATAACGGATGGAATATGACATGCTTCCGTTGTAATTGGACTCATTCTAAGGGGAGTTGACAAGAACGCCAAAGATTTGCTCGTAAAATGGGGTAATATTTGCGCAATAGACAATCTTTGAAGCATTTTAGAAGTCGCAAATTTTGCTGATTTTTATCAATTAAAATGCAGAAAAAATCCCAACTTTCCATCTCATTACCCCTAATTTCTCAGAAGTAATCTCAGAAAATCTCTGGTTCATAGCTTCTCCAATGCCCTAGGGCTATAAAAATCCCAAATAAAAGTCATAAAAATCAGAAATGAACGACTGACCCACGATAAAACTAATTGGATTAATTGAGCAATTAAGCTGTAAAAAGCCTACACGACGGGGAAAACAATGCCCACATAAATTTGTTTCGGTCTGGGTGGTCACTGAAGATGATTTTTAGACGATTGTATGCGATTTCTTGGCCGAAATTGGAAGAAAAACTGCAATTAAAGACAATAGTTAGGCTTGGGATGACTTGCCGTTAAAATACGGCGAAAATACAAGGGTTGATTTAACTAAAAATCCTTGTCTATCGCTTCAAGAAAGAGTAAAAAGACACCCCAGCTTGCTGATCCCTCAAATTTGATCTTTTGGGGTCGAAAAAATCGAAGGCCTTGAAGCGATCCGACCGCTAGAAACATCCATAAAAGGCTCGCCGTTCAACGGCCTTTTGAATTTCAATGTGGGAAAGTTGGGTAAGATTGTTCGCCAGGTTTTCTGGGTTATGGGTTCGACTTTGCAAAGGGTTCTGTTTGAAACGGAGCAAAAAATCTTTTACCTAAAATTTCAACACTTTTCCAATGCAATATTTGCCAGAATTTGATCGAGAAAACTCCAAAAAAATGTCGGAAATCAAGCAAGACTCACAGAACTGTCACTGTTCAAGCCTTTCCGCCCCAAAAATGGCTACCAATTGCGCCCGCATCGGATTGCAATTAGTCATCATTCGTAATAATGGCCATAAAAATGCGGCTTTTGTACGGCCAATGTTTTTTCTTCGAATGTGGTCCAAATGTAATAAAAAAAATGAGTCGGCGGCTAGAAGAATGGACGTTGAAGAGAAATGCAGTGAAAAACAGGTAATTCGGATATCTCAATGGGATAAACAAGGGCTTAGAAGGGGAAATAGAGGGTTTAAAGGAGGGAAAACATTAGCTGTGGGGATCCTGATGGACGGCAGGGAAATTGGAGACATTTAGAGCCACAAGCTTATGATTTTTGACATCTAGCTTTCGAAAAGGCGTCACAAAACAGAAAAAATTAAGTAAACTTTTGGATGATGACCTTCTTTTTGTCGCATTTCGAACTCTAAGCCCGTCCCAGCCCCGTCCTACAACCCAATGTCCATTTTCGGACTATATAACCAAGGCGAAAGGTGGATGCGATGGAAGAAAGGAATTCCTGTCGTGTGATTCACCTTTTCGCATTCCTCCTCAAACCTCCCGATTTTCTCTCCGATTCCCTGGCGCCTCTCCCGAAATCGCGCACTCTCTCCACCCCGACTTCATACAGGTTAAAATGCGCACTTTTGTGCGCCCGGTGGAAAAGGAAGATGAGATTTTTCCCCCCGGAGCGAAAAGTCGCAACGCCGGAGGGGTTTTCCTGAACCAGAAATTTTCGTTGAAGAGTGGACAGAGAGAAAAATGGTTACAACAATGTTTAGGCGAATGAAACTGCAGGGTAATTGGCGAGCAATCAGAGGAAGAGGTTTCTCATTTTGCAGGAGATATTCGTTATGAGTAATGTGGTTTTGAATGGGGAGATAATGAAGGTTTGATTGGGAGAAAAGCCAAAAAATAGGAGTATATCAACGATTTTTTTGGTGATACGTTGGAGAATTTTATTGACAGAAAGTTTAGCCAAGAAATTCAACGGTAATTTTTTGTGGGGAGCACGTAAAATGAGGAGAAATTCGAAATGAAAAAGGCATCTTGGAAATAGCAAGATCTTGCTCGGAAAGCATTGATTTTTTTGCAGAAGAATTGTGACCATTACATGTCATAAACGACATAATCTTCAGTAGAAAAAATGAAGGCAAAAATAAAAGATTGGGGCTTTCCAAGTTCAGCAAAAAATGCAAATTAGAGCCCCAGTATCCCTCCATGGTCTTGGTGTTCGCATTCAGGCCGTTGTGGTCAATACTAAATGTATCATTTTTAGTATATCATACCCCAACGTTGTAGATCAAACCCCCATGATCCGTTGTCCGGAGCTCCTGCAGCATCCTCAAAAAAAAAAAATTACTGACGACACACCTTTTCAGATTGGAAGAGGGGGTTTTTACTGGGGCATGGGGGGTCTGAACTGGATCGGGGCTTTATACTACCTTAGCCCCTAAAGACGCATGTTTCGGATATGTCACTATATTCACCCTGTCACCATAAGACCCTCCAATATATTATATAAATTACAAACATTCTCGTTCGCTGACTCTCCCCCAAAAATCCCAATGCCAAACTCCGTAGCTACCTCCTGCTGACTATTCAACGCAAATAAAAGAAAGAATAAATCAAATCTACAATTCTTTACAAAAAACCGTTTCCAAAGCGCCCTTCGCTGCTTTTGACTGCCATTCAACGTTGACCGTGACACCGATTCCATTCATCGGAAAGAACGGAACGATGTCACACTGTGACGAAAATTGAAAATCAAAAGTTCCAGGAGTGAGCCTGTTAGGAGCTGTTTTTGGATTACGCGCTAAATTACCACGGTTCAAGTAGATTAGAGGCGTAACACAAATAAATAGCGGGGATGAGAGTTTAATTAAAGGGTTGGAAGATGAAACGCCATGATGAATGCGAGCGGAAAAGAGATAAAATTTTGGGGAAAAATTGGAGGTAGGGCCATAAAAAGATGCGAGAAAAATGTATTTGGATGTGATTTTTTTCTCCGAAAGTTTTAGGGAAGATTACATGAGATACGAAAAATAAGTCAGCGGATTTTTGATATCAGACGAAATGGGAAAGAATCATCTTTTTTCTAATCGAAAGTTCTCTTATTTTACATTCATATTAATGCTGAAAAATTCAGTTTGCCCTCTGCAAAGACGCATCGGTCTGTCGGGAAAATAATGGGCACAACGTCGCGCCGAATATTGGCATCTCCGCCGATTCTTCTAGATTTTGTAATAGGCAAGTTTAAAACCCAAATTGTACAAAAATGCAATGAAATTACTAAATCAATATCAGTCTGTCGGGAAAATAATGAGAACAAAAATGACATCACCGCTGAGAAAATGAATTGTATCGGGGCAAAATCAAATTTTTTTCATTTCAGCGACGAGATCAGCGCAGCGAAATTGCGCTCATTATTTTCCCGACAGACTAATATCCAAAGAGAATATTGCAAAAAAAAATGATTTTTTT